AGACAGGGAATGTGTCCGCTAACTTGCTGGCGTGATATTGTGGCATGTCCAGCACACACCCAGCATCTTGGTGACCTGTGTTGCATGCGGCAGTGTACATTCTGAATGTATGCTGTAAGCCATTTACACAGCTGGACTTTTAAACTGAAGTGACTCAGTGAGAGGACGCCCCTGGCCGGGGGTCTGCCCCACCCGAGCTGGCTGCACTGGACTCTGCAGTGCTCGCACTGGCTGACAACAAAGTCCATCCTCTCACTTAAGTGGCAATCAATGAAGAGTGTGAGCCGGTAAGATGGCTTTTATGCGAAGGCGGTAGGTGGCTCAGTGCGCTAAGATATGTTCTTTGGCTTAAATGAGCACATTTGAAATCATCCATTTTTCTCATATTTGGCCTTAAAGGACCACCATGTAAGATTTCGTGGCGTCTAGCAGTGAGATTGCAGATTGCGACTAACTCCCACAACCTCCCCCTTGTGCAAAGCACATAGCCGTACATCAACGCAAAGCCATGAAAGACCCTCTCTGGAGCCAGTGTTTGGTTTGTTCACTCCTGTACCAACATGGCAGCTTAAAATGGTGGGCTCCATGGAAGAATACCCACTTACACCAATGTAGAGATGAAGCGCTCATTCTAAGCTCAGGAAAACACAGTTAGTGATCATAAACTAATGAGACCAAACGAAAACCACGTCCCATTTCTGCTAAGCGATCGCCCTAAATCCGACACACTGGTCCTTTAAATAAATATACAAACCAGTGCAAGAAAACAGGCCTCTCAGGAAGCAGTAACCAGGGTACAAAGTCTGACTAATGTACCTTGGCTCAGTAGTTATGGAGTTTTATGGAGTTTTGAGGGACAGTTTTTAAATAAAAGCCACACTCATTTTGCTCTCCGACAACCTAAATAAGAAAACAAAAACCACAACGAGCAAATGTGGAAAGGAAAGAATTTGGAGAGGAAATAGTCAATCCATTTGATAGCCATCACTTCTCCTCTCTCTCTCTCTCTCTCTCTCTCGCTTTATCTCTCTCTCATGTGAAGAGTAATGAAACTGCATATTATCTGCTGTTTTGAATCAAGCTATTTGGGCGAATATTTGATGGTATCACATGAGACTCGGGAACAAACCTAACAATGAACCCCAATGACAGATGCAACACGTGGCAGACAGCATTGACAAACAGCCACTTTATATCCAAATAAGTGATCGGAACACTGAACATGGGAGATTCAAGCTGAGCAGATGCCATTAGTGATTACATGAATCACAAGATTTTAGAAAGGGCAGCGTGACCTCTCGTTCCACAATCTTTTACTATATTGAGTCAAAATTATCTTCTTCGCTGATGCAACCCATCTTGCAAAGATTTGAAAAAAGGTCTGTTTTGAGTAAGATATTTGCAATGGAAATGGGCGAAGTTTATCTCTCGTCTCTGTCAAAAGTCTCCCTTCTTTTTTGTCAGGCTTGCTGCAGCCTTGGCCCTTGACTTTGCGAGGCCCTTGACTTTGCGAGTCTCTGTGGTCAAATCCATCTGTGTCACAGCCTGTCAAAAATAGTCACAATGCAGCAGCTCCCACAGTAATTACACAGTGCAGTGGAGGAACCAGTGTCACCTCCCTCTCTCTTGCCAAGACTCTCCAACAATGATCTTTCCAGGATTGAATGCAAATTTCTAACCCTTTGCAAAAAATAAAAACTACATTAACCTGCAAAAATCTAACCACTACATACGCCTGCTCACTATTTGATTTAGTGTTTTGTCTGCCCTGTGCCAAATCAACATGCTACAGCTACTTATCTGGAGCATAAATGAGGCTGTTGCTGTGACTACATAATTTGTTGAGCAAATTGAATCATAATGGCGTGCTTATCTATCCATGAATCTGACACTGCATGCTAATGTTGTGATTATTTGCGCTTAACAACCTCTGACTGTTGCTGACGGCGATAAAATAATCCAAGACTGTTTGATTTCAATAAACATTCTGATTAGATAAGCACAGCGGTCCTGGGAACAGCATTTACAGAATGACGGGTGTGAAGTGCATCCTGCAAAATTATGACTTGTTTTGTGAGCAACTCAATTTGATTAAAGTCAGCTCTGAGCGTCTATAGGGATGTCTCCAGATTAGAGTGAAGGGAGGACCCAGTGCACTTTGAACCCCGCTCGGCTGTTGACTTACTCATTCTTTAGATAACACATGGCTGACATATTAGCTGCTAGCTGGTCCATCATCCACAGCTTGAGTACCTGAACATTAGCTGGTTGCACAGCTGTTTGACAGAGGAGGCAGGAGGGGGGGGGACAGTGGAATTTGACACTCCTGGTATTAGCTGGATAACTGCGGCGGGTTGTATGTAAACATGGTTATTGTGCTGCTCTCCTGTGTGTGCACGCAGGTGGAACAAAAAATATATATATATATACACATGCAGCCTCACCATAAGATTACAGAATAAGATGCAACCACTTTGCTCTGTCACCTTTGACTCACAGGCTGAAACACTCATGCAGTGAGTTGCATCAGGTGGACGTCACTACTTGGAGTAATTCATTCTCTCTGCTAATGAGAATCTAAAGGTGATCCCCCAACAACAACTACAGACACTTTAAAAATATGTGGAAACACTGTGTCCTTCAAATATGATGTGTTTGAGAATCAAATTAGTGACCTTGTTATGCAGAATACTTTTTTTTTTTTTTTTACAAATAAAATAGCATTGAGAGAAGTGCCTGATTGGATACAGGTGTATAAGAATGGAACTAGTTGCCATAATTGTTGCTATCATTGAAGCAGGTCTAATTGTCTCCAGGGGATTTCTGTGCCTGAAGATTTTTTTTTATTATTTCATTTTTTTGTAAAATACATTTTCAGTGCAAAATATCTTTCAACAGTTTTTGTTCAGAAGGCTTAAAAGAATAAGGAGCGTACCTAAATTCACAAAGCTCATGACCATGTCTGCATCGTTCAAGAAGTTGTTGTCCTGCAGGCTGGCTATCGGGGGCCCCTGGGTGGTGAAGACGGGCTTGTAGGGGTAGGAGTATCTGTCCTCGTCCCCCTCTGTGGACATGGCGTTGTACAAGTCCAACATAAACATCGGGGCAGCGTTGTGCTTTCCGTGGAGGTGGGGTCGTGGCCGGTGCGGCAGCCCCAAGATCGACAGGATCTCCCGCTGCATCTCTCTGCGCTCCTGGCTCTTAAGCCGACGGTGGATAAAACTGGAGTGGAACTCATTGTCCAGAGTAAAGTTCGTAAAAGCGGTATCGGCCAGGACGCAGTAGCTCCAAACCAAGAGCAAAGCCGGAGCACGTCTATCCAAAATCGGTGCCATGCTTGCTCGCCGTGCGTAATTGCGCCCAGTTCTGTTCGCCGAGAGAAGTGGATGTTCAGCAACAGGCAGCCTGTGTTCAGTATCCAAAAAAATCAGTTACCGGCCCTCATGTTGAGGGAAGTGCTCCCAAATGAAACATCAACTTCACTTCAAAGTCCTTTTATTGATTGCTTTTTCTGGACGGATTGTGTGTCGCCCGGACCTCGGTCCTCATGCACAAGCAGTAGTCAAAAGTTACCAACTGTAGCGCAGCGTGCGAACTGCAGAGTGAAGGCTGTGAGCAGACGCGTTTCACCGGGAGAGAAATGAACAAGTTCCGAGGAGGCGCTGTGTGCTGGGAGGAGCAGGAGGGAGGGAGAGAGGGACAGAGGGGGAGAGAGAGGGAGAGAGAGAGTATGTAGTCGTTGTCTAATGGAGACAGATCTAGCTTTGCTTTGTTGCCAGTTGGAGAAAGGCTGGAGGCAACATGCGCAAATACAAAACTGATTAGGAAGAGATCTGTATTATGACGCTTCAGTTTATGATAAAGCACATTTCATCATTGCTTTCCCACAATTCCTAGTGCCTGTGTGGATTCAGTAATGACAGATGTGCAGACAGTGACAATGGGTTGCTCAGTGTCAGTGAGCTTATGGAAAATCAACTTAATATAAAAGAAGAATTATTTCCCTTTAGAAGTAAACACTTCAATGCTCTGGGAGAGGTTACAACATGCAGCCAGTTGCAATGCAGCCACTATTATAGTTGCTGGCTGATCTTGCAGGTGCACTCTCTGAATACCGTGGGCCATGTGGTTGGGAGACTTTAAAGTCAGTTGTCTTTTGATGTCAAAAAGGCAGCATTACTGCCTCACAACTGCCATTTCACGCCGCATTTCTGAAGATATCCAAGCTTTCTATCCCCAGTGCTGGAGCAGGAAGTTTGTGACAAAGGCAGCGGTGCACAGACAGAGCACAGACTGCAAAGGAGGGGTGCAGATGTTTGGCAGCTGCTTCATTCCTCCATCTGCCCCCCTGGCACCAGCACCTCTTAAACACCACACTTTAATGGAACGCTCCTGACCCTCTGGTGCGCTCTGCTCTTGCTGACACAGGCGGAGGGATTTCACATGGCCCAAGAATGACTGCTTTATCTGCACAGAACTCACTGCACCGAGAGTGGAGTTTTAAAGGCTCTGTAGTTGAGATGTTTTCAGGCTACGGCTTGCCAGGTGATATTTATGACAATAAAATTAGACTTCAATGGCACAGCAAGAGAGGCTGCCAGACAGCTTAAGCTATGATTGCAAACAGGGGAAGGGAGGAAAAGAGGCAGAGCATGTCTTGGGGTCTTCTACACTTAGCTCACCTTCCTGTCCATTTAATGTGGTTGTTCTTGTCTTCAAAGGCGTTCCACTCCTCTTTTTCCAGTGACAATCCAACATGGCTTAAAGCATGAAAGCTTGCATAGCCTGCCACTACTCATTCTGTATATCTAATCCTCTATTTGCTTTTAACTGGCCTTTCAGTAGTAGCCTGTAACATATAAACATTTCTATCCGGTGCCTCAGATAGAATCAGCTAATGGCCGCAGGTGTTTACATTACAGCAGTTTCCGACAGGGGACTTGAAAGGGCCTCGGTTATGACTATACATCTTCCTCTCTTTCTCACTTTCTCCCCCCCCTACTCTCTCTCATTGTCTCATTCACTTGCTCTCTTGCCCCTTGCTATGAAGTTGGTGAGGTCACATCCCCCCCGGTGCTCCCTCAACTACCCCCAGCCCTCAGCTCAGATTGTGCCCAGAGAGGGGTTGACAATCCTGGACAGGACAATAGGAACAGACCCCCCTTTGTTTGGGCCTCCATGCCTGGTGACAGTCCCAGTAAACAGCGGGCACAGGCTGAGGCCAGGCTGGGTGAGCTGCACTGAGGGGCCTTTGACAAGGGGAACTAAAGCAGAAAGGCAGAACCAACAGGGTTTGAACCTTCTGTCAACGAAACACACAGAAAACTGCCAAAAGAAAAGTAGCATTTTCTCTCAAGTCCCTAAATTTTAATGCATTTAAGACAAACTAAGATGTTGGGGCCTGTACTGTTACACACACTGAAATAAATGAGTAAAATAAAACATAATGCCTACCTTGCTATTGAAAAGAGTGGCCACACCTCTGCCAGTGGAACAGCAACTTTCATGACTACACAAAGGTTATACTCTTACTGGTTATAATGGAGCTCACAAGAGCTTTACATATGAGATTTATGGTCAGCTACTTCTACTTGTTTGGTTAGTTTTTATTTCATCGAGCTCGAACTCAGCGTTTAGCCTGAAGCATTTTCACTGCAAACACATGCACTCTTCCCACTCTGATCTCAGACAATCTGAGCAAACACACACCTCTCCACTTTACTCCAACAGGTTGGAGCATGATACCAAGCGCCAAAGAAGACCACACAGCAGTGCAGTGAAACTTGCCTGGAAACACCTTCTCACCCACATAACATCTCTACATGATATCGTTCTCTCTTTTTCCTTTGTTTTATCTGCGGTAGGAGTTGGTGCTCTTTCCGTCTGCTTGGTTAACTCTATTTAGGAGCTCAAAGCCTGCGGTCAGAGGTCAGATTAATATTTATTTCATGTGTTGCCTCAGAGAGCAGCAGGCAGCAGTCCTTTGAAGACCTGTGGATGTAGGGAGGCGGATGAGGTTTGGTGGAGGGACCCACAGACGATACGGTAAAACTTTTTTCTTTTTTTTCCGGGGTAAACTGAGCCTCAAATGAAGCAGTGTGGGGTCGGGGTACAAGGACATGAAGAGGGTGAAAGCACATTTTTTCCCTTCCCTCTCCACCCTCCCCATCTGCCTGTCCTGTCCTCCCTATTCTACGTTTTTGGCGTAACCCCACTGTGTGCACTGCACAAACCAACGGCCTGTTAAAACAGCCTAACCAGGTGGAGCTGAGCTATTGCAAATGTTCCCCTTCTGGTGTCTCACACTTCCAGGGGCCTCATGAACATATGAGACACAGCTGTGAGACAGGCAGAAGAAAAGAGAGGGGGTGGGTATATGAAAAAAAAGTTTCGAAGTTCACTTTGAATAGCCTGTTTAGGTTTGAGGTTTGATGTCATTTTCAAAAATCTGGATCCAATATGGATTTTTTTTAATATTCCTAAAATGCTACACATCACTTCACTTTAAAGGATCAGTTTTCAGATAACTCAGCTGGGGCTCATGTTTTGCCAGATATATTAGTGATTTAGATAAATTTACAAATGGAAAAAAGTGGAGGAGATAAAATATTCATTAAGACTTTTATTAGACTTGAGCAACAACAAATATGCTATCAAAGAAAGAAAAAGCAAATAGGAACTGGCAATGGCAACCAAACCCTAATGCCATTCTTTATAGGAAAGTAAAAACGCCACATTTTCTGCTAAGAAATACAAGATTTTCCTATTTGAAATGCTGCACCTTGCAGGTCTCTTTGCTATCACTCACTACCTACTTTGGTCTGTATTTGGTATGTCCTGTCACCCCCATGTTTGTCTGCAACTGGATACGGCACTTGGGAACACCAGAGTAGCTCGGAATTGATTTATGGTTCACAGCAGTCCAGCCAGACCCATCAGTTATACTTGGTGTCACTGACAGTCAGAGATACCGTTTTAGTTAAGCTTTCCATAATGCCCAGCTTAGTAGCGCTTATCCATTGCAGGATGTTATCACTCAGGCACTCTGTCACTTGTGTCATCAGCGCCAAGACCGTTGCTTGACGCTGAGCCGGTCTCCTCGCACGGTCGCATGCTTATCGGCATCCATTACGGAGGTGTGTGGGCCTGATAAAGGTCTACCTAGTTTCATGCAACTCCAGGCAGAGGTCCCATTAAGATTCCTGTCTGTGCAGTTAGAGGCCTTGGCCCTTTGACTCTTGCTCTCATCACTCTGCGAGGCTATGCTGGTCTGTCAATCAGACGGGGACCCTGGGTGATCAGTCAGGTCCTCTTTAGGAGATGCTGGTCTGAGGAGCCATTAGAGAGTAGGCGGCATAGCCAGACTGGCCACGGCCAAAAGCTGATGAGAAACAGAGGAGCAAGGAGGGCCTGAGGTAGAAAGTGGGGGCGGGGGGCAGAGGAGCAGGAGGTGGATGTGCTGAACTATGTGGATTGTGAAGGGAGGGCAGCTCTGTTTTCTATTTGTGAGGATTAGGTTGACAGATCTGTATTTAGTTTCTTTGGGCCTCGAGCTGCAGCTAATCCCCCTCACCTGCAGCGGGTGCCCCCCTCTCCTTTCTTTCTTTCCTCTGACCCTGCAGCCCCCGACTTCCCCTATGTTCCCCCCTCCTGCCCAGCACAAACACTCATCCCGAGACAAGCACATGACTCGTTGCACTCTGTCTCCTCAGGTTAGGGCCTCACACTCGACACAAATCTCTCTTGGGCCAGAGGAACAGCGGGGGTCTCAGGCTTTCTGGAACAGAAGAAAAAGGACCCCGACAGCCTGTGGTCTTCCACATATTAGGATTTTTTCAGCTTGGGTGAGGGGTTGTTCCTCATCACTAAGAGATAGCAATTACTCAGAAATTAAGAGCCATTACTACGGAAGCAGCTTGTCAAAGCCACTCAGGGGAAAGGGGGACCTTTGGTAAAGCTACACATTAGGAAATATTCAGGGTCAGGTCAGGGGCACAGACCTCTTCTCTTTAGATCCTGGCTCCCACACACTCTGACCAGGCCTTCACACTGTGAAAGAAAGACCACAGTGCCTCTGCAAACACACACAGCATGCCTGCCAGCAATTCAAAAAGGTGGGGACTCTGGATGACCTAATAGTTACAGAATCTAAGCACATTTCTCTGTTTTAACAATATAGCAACAACATGACGCAACAAAGAGACAGAAACAGGCTTTGAAAGGTTGGTGAACAAGCACTGTGTGCAAGTTCCTCACAGTGTCATACTTATTTAATCTCATTGTAATGTTTGGAGCTTAAAACTGCTGCAATTAGTCAATTACTGTCTGATACACTAAACTGAACTGCTCACAAAAGAATGAGCAACATTTAAAGCAACTCACAAAGCCCTAAAACACATGTTGGCCAGCATGGCCACAACCATCATCAAATTTATTTTTAAAAATCACTTCCACATGGCGAACAGAAACAATATATATTTGCTTTCTCGCTGACTCTAACCACAGCTAATTAAACCCCCACCCACTCTACAGAAACCACACACACA